CTAATTCGGATAGAAAAGTCCACGTCTCGCGCGAAAAGCCTCCATAACTTCTCCCTATTAGACGCATTGAAGCGGAAATCGGACGGGACGGCGCTGTGAAGGGTCGACCTTTTTTTATTAGACGATCTCTCTCACGCGCGCATGCTCGAGCTTATTCTCTCCGACCACTCGTCGCGCCGGTTCTCCAAATTTTAAGTATCGCTTCTTTTCTGCTTCGAATCCGCCGATTTCTAGACTTTTCAGTGAATCATACCTTCTCTGAGGGCACCTTTGTCAAAGTTCAGAAGGAAAAAGCCCGCGAAGGTTATTGTTGAGTGAAAATCGCGCAAAGGAGAAGCGAATTAATTAATATATGAGCGATGTATCAGCGTATTAGTAATTAATTTATTTGCTCAATCTCTTCTCATCTTGCGTTCGCTCTGATAGATTTTTCCTTCTCGGATTGGATTTCTCTCAACAATTACCGAAACTATATCCCACTTTCCTATTGATAATTAATCGCGATTGAACTGAGAACGGAGAATGGCTCTCCCAGTCATCTATTTAAAATACGTGAGAAAAGCGCTCAGAGTTTTCCTTACACATAAATTGCCCGATTGCTTGATACAATCAAAAATCAAGATTTGAGAATAGTTCATACAAAATTTGTCGAGGGATCAGATTTATATAATCCACTGTGAACTACCGTTACCAGTGTGGGCGAAGTGTTGCGGTGGAACTCTTTTTATCTTAAGAGCGTGTCTCTTTGCCTCTATCTTTCTTTAATTCCGAGAGCCTTGTCTCTTATCACAAGCAGCGTCGCATGTGTGATTTAGGAAGCTCGTCGGGAACGCCGAGAGAGAAGAGGGAGAAGATCGCCCGACGATGAAAAATGTCGGCGAAACTTGAAACGATGAAAAATCGCCGCCGCCGCCGCCGCCGTGGGCGGCCCGAGAATTCGCGAACTCGCGTTAGCCGGATGAACTTCGTCGGCGAGTCGGCGAAATACCACGTCGTTCTCGCTTCACGAAGCGATGTGTCTTCGTTCGTTTGTTCATTCGCGAATAAGCTGTCGAGGAAGCCTCGCGCGAGCTTGCTAATACTTATGCCGCGGCACTGATATTTATCCATGACCGGTGATACACCTCACGGAAAAGGGACGGGGAAAAGCGCGGTGTCGTTGTTTAAAGCGAAATTTTCGGCACGGCGATGGATCGCCCGGGGCTTGACTCGCTGTATCCTCCCCGGAGGCCGAAACAAGACGAGAACGAAGGAAGATCCGCTCGCTTGTGGAAGAAGTATGGGGCGATACACGGGGAGAATTTTATACCGAGCCTATTACCATAGGACCTCGTAACCGAGAAATATATCGACATTTTGTCTTTGTAATTGATTATCCTGACGCGTCGCACGTGTAAATTTATATTTTAGCAGCAGCAAAGTCTATTGCAAGACTTGCTCCCCTGTCCTCTGGCAAGATAAATTGAAAATTTATATGAAAAGAAAAAGAGACATTCTCCTCGCATACTTGTAAAAATTTACAGAATCCTCATTTACAGAAATTTCCATACCTCATTAATAATAATAATAGGGCGAAATTTTTAGACGGGTTCGTCATGTCCTTAGGAACGGGAGGATTCCACAGACTGCAGTCAAGAAAGAAATGAACGAGTTTCTCAGAGTGTTTCCCTTCCCAACTTCATCCTCGTCTAAATTCCGTCTCTGATTGCGACACGACACTCGCAGTGGCGCAATTTCTCACGAAGATTCCCGGCTGATCCTCAAGTGCGAGTGAAACGTTCGGCGGACGCGTGGAACGCGCGTTATGCCGAATGATCCGGAATGAAAGTTTCGCGAGGGGATGACGAACGAAAGGGAGGATTCGCGAAATCTCGCGTGTCGGAGGGGAACACGAGAAACGAGGCAACGCGATTGCGATCGTCGGATCGAGACTGAAGTCTTTCCGAGAGGCATCGCTGTACGTTTCGGGGCTCGTCGTTATTTCGGCTTGATGAGAAGTGATTACGACGGACGATCCTTTTCGTCGTTACGGACGCGCGTATATCCTGATACAAAAATATGGGAAATCCTCGCGCAAACGGCGCGTTTATACATCGTGCGTTGAGACGGCGGGACGAGGTGAGCGGCTAACAAGATCGATTAATCGACATTGTCGCGCGGTTCTTTCTTTTTTTTTTTCCGTGAAAAAGATGAAAAGTGTTGTCGATAAACGTCACTCAGGTATCCGCGCGTTTCATTGATCTCTTTCTCCCTACCTCGGCCGCAGAACATGACGATACGGCCGCTGCGGCCTGCGGTTTCACGCGAAATCATCGCGCTTTAATTGGCTGTTTAATTTAGTTTGCTTTTTCCTTCGTTTTTTCCACCGCGTTACCGCGAACCGACAGCGTGTACCATACCGAGAAAATTCCACAACAAAAATCACTACAAACGTGAATGAATTGTACGTGCCGTTTTCAGCAATTTTGAACAGGTAACTAGAAACGCGATGTATTTGATAGTTCGATCGTTCAAATCACACAAAGTTCGAGAAGAAGGAAATTATGTAACCGAGCAACATATCAACGTTCTGTCTTAATTATCCTTCCGTCTAGCGCTACTTATACTTCAGCAACTGAATGCTGTAAATAATAAAAATACTCTGGAAAGATGAACTTCGCTGGCAGTCCATCTCCGTATTACGAAATATAATAAAATCGTCATAAGAATTTTACAAGACGAGTAAAGTGAATTTCCTGATAACTCCGATAATCACTCTGACCGAGCATTATCCCACGTCGACCCACGTTATTCTTAAGCGGGGCCGAGTAATCGAGCGAGGGGGAGCGACGAGTGAGTTATTATTCGGCGAATCGTGGAATCAACGGCGCCTCGTGCCGGCTCGGTACGGAAGGGAAGAGGAATAGCCGGGGCAGGTGGCGGCGGAACTTTTATTCCCGTCGTGGTCTTAAGGAATCTTTTCGGGATCTTTGGGGTACTGCCGGGCGCAGCCGCGACTCGCGGATCGCATCTGCCCCGCGAGGAGCGGATCGACTACCCCGCCGCCGTTGTCGGACGTCGGCGCAGCACGCGACGCTCCGGGGATTATGACGAGGGATATAAATCACCGCGATGCGCGCATCCTCTTAAGTATTATTAATAGCTCGCGCACGCGTGCTCGAGAGAATAAATTAATATCCAATCCCTGTTTCGGGGCCGTGGCGACGCTCGTGATGCTTCCGACGTCGTGCAAAGAACACGGTAAGATAAACGTCCCAGTATCCGACCTACACTAGAAATGTGCGAGCTATTCGAATTCGAATCGTGTCAAATCGAATCTAATGTAATTCGATTCGATTCGAATCCGAAAAATTCGGAAATTTCGAATCGCGAAGATTCGAATACGAATCAAATACATTAGCGTTTGCGCGCATCAGCTACAAAACGGGCCATCTAAGCCCCTATGTTTGAACCTTTAACTTGTAATTTACTTAACTTATAATTAATAATATAATTATAAATTACTTTAAATATTTAAATATATATTTTACTTTAAGATGATATTACAATATCAATATTCCCTTTCATATTAAAATCTTCCATCATTATTTGTAGTTTAATAGTCATGTTAAATTTTTTAATGATTCGATTCGATTTCATTCGATTCGATTCGAATTCAAATTTAAAAAATGAGATTCGATTCGATTCGATTCGACACAAAAATTCTTGATTCGCACATCTCTACCGACTACTTTGAAAAAAGATATTTATTATTTATTTTAATAATAATAAGTGAAAGTAATAATTATTGTAAAAAAACTCCAATATTTGACAATTAATTGGAAAAAAATTTGATGCTTTTATATTAATTTAAAATAATTTAAATAAAATTAATTAAACTTTAATTAAAATTAAATTAAATTAAAATTAATTTTAATAAGATTAATTAAAAATAATTTGCTTTTATATTAAAATAAAAATTAATTAAATAAGTATGCACCTATGGTTTAGCAAAATAATAGTCAATCAATTAAGAAATTCATTAAGAGATAGTATCTGTATTTATATTATTTCCCGTTAACATATACTAATTTTCTAATTGCGGTCAGACACTGAGACAAATTATATCCGAACATTGGACCATAACCTACTTCAACTATTCGGTCATTGGTACATTAATGCACTTCGTCACTTGTATAAATATTTCATTAATAACAGAATATACATTGGTTTAAATCATTTTTCTCTACTTGAGGGAATCTTAAGTTTTTGAATAAATGCAAATATTTATATCAAAACTATTCTTAATATCATATATTGTATTTTTTGTGACAACCTACGCGTAAGTGTCCGGTTACTGGGACATTTACCTTAAAGGCGATCGAATAAAAGAGAGACGACACTTACTTGACGAAAATTACGATTTTTTTAGGTTTTCGAGGTCGCTCAATGAATAATGAAATACTGAAATGATATATGGATGGAATGATATATGGAACATTTATTCTCAATAGATTCATTTAATGTTAGGTGAAATAACAGCAAATTTCATATAAGTTGCCTGAAGACATTTCATATGGTATGCACGCATAAAGACAAATGACGAACAGTAATACTAAAAATAGTGAAAACAATGTAATTTCCCCTATATATGTAAAAAAATCGTAATTTTCGTTGACATCATTTTAATTTACATGGAAAAAATGGTCTCACTCACGAGACATAGACGCCATATTTGATCCGCCATTTTGTATTTTTGAATTTTCACGTCAGATTCGAATTTAGCGACCCCAAAAATCCCATGAAACCTTACAGCCTTTCGAATAAACAACAAGATAGCACTTCTAACGCGAAAACACTCTGTATAAATAAGGAGTAGTTTCCACCCTTAAAACTGCTTCTCCGCAGATAAAAGAAATACGTGTCGATTATTTTCCATAGCTCTATAAGTGGGCAAAGTTTCATCAAAATCGGTGAGTGACAGTTGGGTACCTTTACTTGTAAGAGACGATCAAGCTCACCTGATGGCGTTGAATATCTCGTGGAAGCCGGTGCCTTGGTGGCTGGCGACGTCGCAGGTTGGCAAGGGATGCAGCAGGGGCAGCCGATGGCACAGCACGCTGTCGCTGTTCCTTTTGCTGCTGCTGTTGCTGTCGCGGTCTCGTTCGTTCTGCGGCAACGGCCCGTTGCCCGTGTTGGGCGCTGGGCCTAAGCCCAGTCCCAGAGGAAGGCGCGGCAGGGTGGCAGGGCGCGTGAGACTGCCGTAGGCGGTCAAGGCACCCCTCGGCAAGGACGAGTAGCAGCGGTTCAGTGGCAAGGTGCCGAGGGTGCTGGAGGCGCAGCCGCTGCTGCCCGAGCCGGAGCCTGAACCTGCGTGAAGATTTACGGCACGTGAGATTTACGGTAAATTCGACGGAAATCGAAGCAGGGAGGTGAGTAGGGTCGCGTGCTTGGCCAGAGGTCGAGCTTCGGGAGCGGAAAGTAACCCGAATTACGAGACCTGCATAATCGCGGAACTTTCTTTATTCGCTTCGATTCGTATCGCGAGAAGGAAGGAATCGAGTGCTCCGCGTGATGAATCACGTTAATGTTAACGTTCGTTATACGAAGTGAGCCAGAAGTAAATACGTGTCGGAACGACGAGAGGTTGACACCTTGTTCCTTTCCCCGCGACTGCCTTAAAAGGAAAGTTAAGTAGGCGCGCGTAAAAACGTTTTATGCGACAGAAATGGTTGGGAGAGGGGGGGGGGAGATGTAGTCGATGCGAGGAGGCGAGAAATTGAAAAAGCGAAGGACGGAGTTTACGAAGGGTGGTTTACGGAGGTGGAGCGTACACGGCGCGGACAAGGTGACGACGACGCGTAACTTTTTATGGGACCCCTCAATTTCCGCACTTGCCTCATCGATAGTAACCCTCAGCCTTTGCCGACGGTATACGGAATATAGCCGATGGTCGTCGTCGTCGTCGTCAATTTGTCGCCGGTCAATTTGTTTTGAAGCCTGGTCATGGCGGGAAATACATATATCGCGGTCGCGATGAGACTGGATAGTTCCGATGAGAACGCGAGATATCCAAAAGGTGCATTTCTTTCTCCAAGATGGACCAACGAATTCGAGCGAATAAAATGTAAGCAGCTGTTAGATTTTTAATTATCGTGCCTAGTATTCTCTCTGACGAACATCTCGTACTGGCCAATCTTTCTTATTATGGTTGAATATATCTCCAGACAGCGAAAAGAAATATTTAATTAGGTAATACCGACTTGATATACATACACTATATATTACATAATATTAAATGATATTAGACGAATTGTATATATAACATCAGACTTAACCCCTTGTCCTACGCACTAAGTCCTGATGGCGCAGGCCACAACAATCAACAAGAAAGCCGGTCACGCGTCGAGCCATTTAGCTGTTCACCCGAGCTGTGCTCGAACTTGTGCAAATCGTATGCGCTTATGATATGTATATTTCGGCGCAACGTTCCGAACGAAGTACCACGAGCCAGGCTCGTGTTGTTTACGTTTGGTCCGATCGAAGTACCACGAGTCAGGCTCGTGTTTCTTGTTTTCGGCTCGAATTTCTTACCACGAGTTTCTTACTTACTCGATATTGTAGATTAAGGGGTCAATTACGCGAATATCGTCGCGACTTTAATCGCCCGGAAATAGAAGGTCAAGAGATGCACAAATTATAATAAAAATAAGAAAGAAGCGGCTTTTCCGATTGTACCCCGTTTCACCGAATCGACATCGCAGCCCCGATATAATCATGAAAAATGGCGAAGTGTCACCCAACAATAAGTGGAATAAAAAGAAAAGATGCATCATTGCCGCGTAGCGAGTGACGCAATTTGGAGGTCCCATCTCCCACGCACCCGGCAAGTCCGAAAGCTCCTCTCGTTTTTTTTTCCTACGGGATACCTCCGGTTACCGAGGTGTAACGGGCGGCGGATTCGCGTTACGTGTGCCAGAGGATTTTATCGATGTCAAACTCGCGTGGCCGCGGTATAACGTGTTCTGTAATCTGGCCCGCTATAACACGATCAATCAACGGTAGCCACGTAGCGCGGTTTATCCAGCCGGAGTACACCACGTACGATAATCGTGCTACCCCACCGCATCGCGCCGCGCCGTACCGCGCGCGTTGCAACGAGCGCAGCGTAATTACTAATTAAATTACGGAATGTTTATCGCTATTTCGAGAGCGCGCTGGCATCGCGTCCGTCTAGAATTGCGCGGTTGAATGCGGCGCGGCGGCGATGGCACGGATGTTCGGGAACGCCAAAATACCGCATCCCTCTTCATTCCCCCTCTCAAACGTCTACCCGCGCGCAATTCCGCGATAAACCTTATTGTTACATCGTACGGCCATTAACTGCGCGCCGTGTCGTCGTCTCTCAGAAGGAAACGACGCTGGGAACGGTGTTCCGTTCGTCGTACGGCTCTCTTCAATTTTACACGATGCCAAATTAATCTGCTCTTTGTGTGAAAAAAATATTTCGGATTTCCCGCGGTATCGTGTTTAATGATGTTCTTTGATGCAACACTCACGAGATATGCGAACCGTGCAAGTAGAACGTCACGAGCTTTTTTGTATGAACTTTTTTCTTTTGATTTTGCCACGTTTTTTCCGGCGGTGTATCTCGCTGAGGAAAATAGATGGTAAATTTTGTAACGACAGATTCCGTTTCTCCTGAAATGTAGGTAGCGCGTTCGATTCGGGAATCGAGGCAAACTATATCGATATGTCCCAAAATCGGTCACAAAACTCCGTTGCAATTTTATACTATAAAATTGCATCTCTCCGTATCTATCTTCAATTTGGTACAACGTAAAATTAATTTTCTTCTTGTGTGAAAAATTATCTTCATATATTTGTAATAATGCATCTGACGAGATTCTTTGATGTGCAGCATTCACGACACGCGGAAACGCGCAACGGAGACTCCAATTAGTAAAATCACGAAATTCAAAAGGTAATTCAAACTTCCCCTCTTCTTCCCTCGCCCCGTCTGACTTACTTTCTTGTTTCTCGCACAAATGGCGGGAAGCCTTCTTCTTTCTCCGTGGTAAAATGCAGCAATCGTTGGGACGAACGATGATTACTTAGCAAACTCTTCTCCACAGATACAAACAAGACGCCTCAACTTCCGCAATTTCCGACAGTTTTTGTCCCTGTCGTCCTGCTCGTCTCACGCTCTCGTAGCTACGACGCTAGCTGTTTGGTAACGTTAACGTAGCTCCGAGCACTCGAGTCGGAGACTGCGAGTCTCCATCCAGACGAGCTCCAATTTGGATTCGAGCGTAGTTAACAAACTCCTTTTTGGACGTGATCTCGTATGGGACCGCGTACACTTGCGTACGCGCCGGTCGGGGAAAATTAGACGTCGCGCGGAAATTCGAGGAAAGCGGCCCGCGAACACCGCGCTGAATATTAATTCGAAAGAGGGCGGGGGGGGGGAGAGAGGCTGCGCAGTGTGTCGCTCCTTAATTCCATCGCTCGAGAGTCACCCGAGTGATCCGAGTATTCCGTAGCGAGCCGAACTTTCTGTCTAATGTTCGCATCGTGATCGATCTCCCTTCTACTGCCAAAGTTTGACTTTGCGAATGCGCGCCGGGTTCGATGAAGTTATTCTTGAGAGAAAGAACTCGTTACCGTCTTACTCGTTTGACATTTCCTGAGATAACCTGTGAGTTACCGTTACCGTTATTCAGGAGCCGAGACAGTCGTCATAATTTCCGTTTCCTTTTTTCTCACTAAATTTTGAGATTCTTCTCTTTATCGCTTCGTTACTATTAATTTTAAGACAACGATAAAAGTAATGATCATTGCCTGAAAATACTGTTACTGTTACTGACTAAGAGAAAAGACGAGATCGTTCTAAATAACACGATATTCCCCAGCCTCGACTTTCGCACACTTTGGGTAAAATTCGCGACGTCTGAAAGCTCTCGTAGGCTCCTCGATCTTCACATCGTGGAAAGTCCACGAGTTTCGCGCTCCTTAAGTTCTAGGTGAGACTTCGACCTTGACACCCTTCGGCCGAGACCTTGCGGAACTTTGACCTGTGAGTCCTCGGCTGTTCGAAATTCTTTTCCCTGTTTCTTAGGTTCTTCACATTTTCACGAAGATGGAAATACGCGTCGCGCACATGCAGTGACACCATTTCACTCCCGTTTTCCTGCCGTGGCTCGTTAGCTCGTTGTCATTCATCAGTCCACTCGGCCCTGCCATTGTCGTTGACCCCCCCCCCCTCCCGTGCGTGCAATGTGGCATAACAGAAGTGGATTGTGCGAGGTAATTTTATCTAGCCCAGAGGGCTAGAGCCCGCGTATTACGCTCCCCTTAAATTCGATCCGACAAACGACGGCGGGCCCCGGATAGATTCAGTCGGTTGGATTTCAGTGCCGTATCGTTTCCGCCTTATTCAAAGCCAGACGCTTCCGTTCGTCTCCGGTTACGCTCGTAGCGTACACGTACAACAAGGCGTGTGCTTAGCCTAACTCGACGGATTAATTACGAGCCATCTACCCGGTGACGAGAAAGTCTGGCGCGTCTACGCGTCGACGACGAGGATCTCCATCTTTGCTCGCGACGAACGACACCTCGTCCTTGACGGCGCGTAGTTTCCTCCATCCCTCTCTTCTTTTCTCTTTCTTTTACCTGCCGGAGAATCTCCAAGTTAAATTGTTAATAAGTGTTAATTTTTGTCCGCAATACTACTCGCGTATACTACTCTCCGTTTGTCTTTTTCGCGTTAAGGCAATTGATTTGCGAAGTTTCGGATTGTCAGCGGCGGCGTCAAACCAAAATTTCTTTCTTGCGAATTTATTTTATTATATTATTTTTATATTTATTATTATATTATTTTTAAGTTCTCTCAACTGACCCAAATGGTCAGTCCTTCAGCTGTACCACCTGCGTGCGACAGTATTTCCATTAATATGCAGTTAAAATTCAATAGGACTCTCTAGAAAATGCTTCTACGGATCAACTACTTTAACGGTTAGAGTGCACCCTTAGACACACGCGATGGAAATGTCGTTTCTTCGCCATTGCCATCGTCGTCGTCGTCGTCGAGGATGAAATTGATGGATACCAATAGGACGAGGTCGCCAGGATTTCGCGTAATAGGAAGTTACGCCGTAACTGGAACGTAAAATCGCGTTATCCCGCGCGATCATTCGGATGACGATTAATCGGTCGGAGATAGCGGCCTTGCGATTTCATTAATAATCACGATGGTTCGCGGTGCGTGAAGTGATTATAACGATGTTGATTGGATCGACGCATTACGGCGCGAAATATGTCATATTAAAGCGCGCCCGGCGGACACAAAGCGCCCCGCGAGTTTACGACAA